GAAGGTGTACGTTGAATTGAACAACCACTTAGTAAAACAAAAAAGTTTACCACCAGAGACAATAGTGGTCTCACACTTGAACTAATTGCATATGGGAAATAAAGTATCAATGCTTCCACATAATAATCAACATGTTGACTAAGCATTATCAGTTAGCACATTACAACCTCGTGTTACCCAATTTCCCAGGTGCTTTTTAGAATAACTCTATACCCTTAAGAGGAACTTTATTGGCTAAAACAAATATCATGAGTGCTCCCGTAACTCCAACAACCCACTCATTCTTTTTATAACCAACACCCACTCGTACTAGCTCCAAGTTTTCATTAAGAGTTCTAATACTCAATATCCACAGATCTTGCGATTACACCATAGAGGGGGATAAAATAATAAGTATAATAGAGTATATCAAAACAGGTCATCATATGATTTGTTTTCCCAATTGAATTTGGTTATCAAAATCCAAACCGGGTTTCCTCATATATGAATGTATACGCTTTAGCCCACCCCTTGATGTGCTTCAAAATCTTTCTCTTGCTAAGTCCTTAGGCCGTTTTTAACAATAATATTAAGCTTCAAGCTAACTACAGTTGAATCATCACTAATCCAGAAGTAAATTCTAGACTTGTCCCCTCCAAAATATAACAGCACAACATTGTATTTAGTTCTTGAGTCCAAAAGCTCCACCACAAATAAACAACTCTTTTTTGTACTTAATACACTAGAAGACTATCCACCAACCAATGATCACCTGTTCCCACAACTTTATCATCCACTAAATTCTTATTTATTGTATGGAAAAACTCCAACACCTCTAAATAGAAGTCTTTTTGTAGTATGCATCAAAATGTGGTGCAGTTAGAAAACTAGTGGTCGAGAGTTAATAGTTATAACGGATTATTCACCACTTTGATTCGGATCTTTAAACCCTATTATAGTCAGATTTTTCTATTAAATTTTCTTTGTAGATAAATCACTGTTCCAGTTCTATTCGAAATGTCACTTTCAGCAAAGAACTATCCAATGTCTTGATGAAGTTGATTAACCTTAAGTTGATAATCAGTTTTCATGATAATAACTTATCCATTAGTGTTTATAATATTGGCTAGCATGTTGAATTTCACAAACATAATGATGCAGAAAAAGACATGTTGACGGATCACTAACCTCCGGAGGATAGGTGAACAAAATAGCATTCTTTTCCTTTGTGTGGATAATCAGCTGTAATATCACATTAAACAAGATATACGTGCCATAGTCAAGGATATGACAAAGTTGGAGAAAAGGTTTCACGTACTAAAAGTATTAGATCTCTCAAGGGCAATAAACATCCATCAATTAAACTCCCAGTACATACCTTTTCAACTATCATACATCAAATACAACTAAACCTATAAACTTGCGGCCTTCAAAATTTATCACTTGCATTCTTCTCAGCCATAGACTCTTACGGTATCAAGTATTCAGATCCAAAATTCAACCCTCTAATCATGACTATTAAATTGTGACTACTCATGAGAATGCTAAAGGACTTGTTCATCTTGATTCCAAACTCCCAGTTTAGTTTTATAATAAAAAGGCAATAACTGAATAAACCAAACAGTATTTACAATGAAAATAGAACAGATGCAGGCACTGAAAAATAAAATAGCTATCAAACAAGAAATTGTTTCTTTTTTTCATTTCAAATTTCCAACTCTCCCTCAGTGATAATCTTTTCTGATAAAAAATACACAGTTATGCCTCAATTCGAAATCAAACATGGCAGATTATATAAACCCCTATATCCTCCATCCAGATCCGTTTCATTCTAATACTCAGTTATCATCCCAACAAAAATCAAAATGAAAATTCAAAAGGATATAACACAATGCATCCAATGAGAAAATCGCGATTAGCAGGAAAATCCTTCTTGTAGAACTGAGCAACAAGAGCAATTGCGATTATGATTGAACCAATCAATAACCTGATGTTACTCAATCTCACATCTTCTGGGTATCCTTTGCTTGTAACAATCTATAGATCATATAATGAAGAAAAACAAAAAAAATCAACACACAAAATTAAGTCAAATTCAATTCAAATCTAGGGTAAAAACTGAGGTACCTCAGTGACAGACTCATCCAGAAGGCTCTTGATAGAGTGATGATCCAAAAGATTGGCCTTCTTAGGGTTTTTCTTGACCGGTATTTGAGTGGTGGAATCCATTTTCTCCGATTTCGCTTATGAGATTTTCACTAGGGTTTGTCTGAAAATTGGTACAAAAAGAGCTATTGTTAGTCAGAGGGAAATGAGAAATGACGATAGATGAAATTACAAAAAAGTACTTGGGGATGCTACTTGCATGTGACGTGTATCTGGGGTCATTTACGTCAATAACAATTGTGAATGTAAAGTTCCTTTTTAAAATTTGGACACTTAATAGTACGTAGTACTCCCCTCCGTTTCAAAAAGATTTGACTAGTTTGATTTGGAACGGAATTTAAGAAAAAGGAAGAAGATTTTTTTTTTGTGGTTCTAATTTAAAGTTATGCCAAATGTATTATAAATATCTTTTAATTTTGTGGTCTTAAACATGTCACGTGAAAAGTTAAAATTAAAATGTTGTCAAAAAAGGAAATGAATCATTCTTTTTTAAACAGACTAAAAAGGAAATAGGATCATTTTTTTTAAATGGAGAGAGTAGTATACGTGTCCGTGCTACATGGATGATTTAAAATACGGAAAAGGATCAAAATTACCCTTAAACTATATGAAATAGATCACTTATACTCTCCATTATATTTTGGGATAAAAAAATACCCCCGTTGTTACCCTAGAAAACCACAAACACCCTCAAGAGTTAACACCCCAATTTTTTAGTGACGTGGCATGCCACGTGGGACTAATCCCTCCACCTAAGCGTTGTCAACTAATATTCACTACAAAAGAACTTGATCTTTGGTGGAGACAGAGTTGCCAAAAAATCTCAAAATATTGTCACTAGAGGTTATGAGTAATTTTTAGTGACGACTAAGACTCCAACAACCATTTGCTAGTAAAACCTATTTTTTCAACCAAAAAAACGATAATTAATTTTCGATTGCAACCTAATTTTCTAAAATAAATAACTTGCAATATCAATATTAAAAACACCCAATATTATAATGAAAAATCATGAAAATTACTTTTCGATTCACATCTCCTACTATATAATGCATCATTGTACATTTTATACATTTATATGTAACATAAAAATAAAATATACGGTGCCTTAAAACTCCTACTTAATCGATATCATTTTTGTTTTTTTAAAAACAATGAAGAAAGAAACACAAAATTAGAATTTAATGTTAAAAACTTTTAGTAAAGATTTTTTGGGATTTTGTGGCGATTACTGTCGCCGCTAAAGGTATAGTTCTTTTGTAGTGAATCCTAGTTAGCAATGCTTAGGTGGAAGGATTAGTCCCACATGGCTTGCCAAGTCAATAAAAATATGGGGTGTTAAATCTTGAGGGTATATGTGGTCTCTTAAGATAATACCAAAGACATTTTTATCCAAAAATATAACAAAGGGTATAAATGGTCTATTTTTACATAGTTCAGAGGACCCTTTTCAATTTAAAATATAATAATTTTATAATTAAAAATAACTAATAAAATATATAATGTAATTAATAATATATTTAATTTATTATAATACCAATATAATAATACAAATCATTTTATATATATATATATATATATATATATATATATATAT